CGCTCTGCCATAAAAAAAAAATGAAATACTCCCATTGGCAACAACATAGATGAGCTTGGAAAAACTGATGTTTAGTGAAATAAGCAAAGCCCAGAGGGATAAATACCTCATGTACTCACTCATATGTGGGAGCTAAGAGAGAAAGAAGGAAGGAAAGAAAGACCACAGTAAAGCATTGGATTTGCAGAGCAAGAGAACATTCCTTGGGCTACAAAGTGGAGTGGGGGGAAGGGGGAGGGAGGATGGGGGATAATTGGGTGAGGGACACAAGGTACAAATGCAATTTGTGGTAATGGGTATGCTGCCTGCATTAATCTTGCCCTCACATCATGGGCACAGAGGGTGACAATCAGCTTTGTATCTCATGAATATTCATAACCAATATTGTTTTGATCAGCGTATGTTGTACGCTAGTAACGGTAGTCAATGTTGCATCCCCAAAATATGTATAATCAATTATGCTTTTTAAAAAATACGCAAACAAATAAACAAAACCTCTTAAAAGTCAATAATAACGATAAAAAATCTCAGCAGATCATCATCAGTAACACTGTGGCACAGACAGAAAAAGTTTATCATAAGAAACTAATAAGGGCCGGCCCGGTGGTGCACTGCTACAGTGCGCCGCTTGGGAGCGCGGTGGCGCTCCCGCCGAGGGTTCGGATCCCACATACAGACCGGTTCCCGCTCACTGGCTGAGCGAGGTGCAGGAGCAACACCGAGGGTTGCGATCCCGTTGCCGGTCCTGGTCCGGTACGGGAGCAACACTGAGGGTTGCGATCCATTGCCAGACACGGAAAAAGACAAAAAGGAAAAAAAAAAAAAAAAAGAAACTAATAAAATACCAGATAAACTTTAGGCTAGGGAGCCATATATCTTCAAAGGAAATATACACATTTATCAAACATGTACATTCTAGAAATGTACTCTAATAGCAGTAGATTCCAAGGTAATTTTCCTTACGGATAAAATTCAAAAGTCCACCGCAACCTTCTGAGTTTTCTCCCTGTTTAAAAGAAACTTGTGAAGAAAAGTAGCCTTTCCAGCCTTTGGATATTGTCCTGTGAGAATACGGTGTTTGGAGCTGCAGCTAATTATCTAACCATGAAAGACGGTATAAAAAGATACTGCTATATGGTATAAAAAGATACTGCCAATAGCACAGATGAAAAAGAGACAAGTGGGATCCTTATGATATCACTGAACCATCACCACAACTCTGGTTCTTATTGTTTTAGCCACTGTTAGTTGGGTTATCCAATATTTCCAGTCAAAAGCATTCTAAAGTAATAAATTTCCTGTGGCCTTCAGGATAAGATCTACTAATTTCTATAGTACTAAAAAGTTTTTCAAGCTTGCTTTAGCTAGATATTCATCTCATTCCTAACGACTCCCAAGGTCACACTTTTTGCATCAACAAAATTGAACCACTCACAAACCCTGCAAAGTTCACTCATGTGTTCTAGCTTTTGTATTTTCTGGTCCTCCTGCCAAATATGTAATCTCGTTAGATGTTTCATCTGCCAGACATCACCCTTCTGCTCCTATACCTGGCAAACTCCTACTCACTCTGCATGCTTACTCTAAATCGTACCCATTTGTTAAGTGGACAAGTGAATAAACGAATAAAAATGTTTTCTTTGAAAATTCTGTTGAAGCAACACAGAAACTAAACACGGACAACTCTATTTGATTATGAGCACCTTAAACATCTAATTTATGTCTATTCCATCTCTTGCAACTTGTAAAACATAACATACAAAAGTTCTTTGATAAATGTCCACTCAATTAAAGGAGTCTTCATACACTTCGCATTGTACAATGCATGAGATGTCTAAACTGGGAAGCCCAGTAGCATTTTTGTTACTGCAAAACATTTTTGTATTTTTATTATAATTTGTTGAGTGTGACGTTGGGCTATTTGAATATTTGTTTTGATAATGCTTCAGCTAATTGTAACAGGGTATCTCATTCTAATAAAATTAACCCTATTGTGACAATTATCCCACAGACAGTAGAAAATACCTTCTTCTAACAAAATCCATATATCTCATTTGGTTTCAACCTATGAGGGATGAAGTTGATAATAGTGAGATCTTGCTGGTATAAGAATATGTCACAAGACCTATGCTTGTCAATGAAGAATAGCTTTTCTGATTTCTGTACTCAGTAGTTATCTTTACAAAATAATCTCCAATTGGTATTGGTGCACACTGGCTGAGTTTTGCAGTTCTTATTGTCGTTTGTTTTATGGTACCCAGAAAGGTATTGTTTAGTTGCCACTTTTGAAGATAGTTACTTTTCTGGTGACATAAATCATGTAGTAATATTCATTTACTAAGTGCAATACATTTATTGTAAAAATTAAATAGAAGATCCATTTTTATAATAAGTACAGTTTGCTATAATGTGATTACAGAGAACACATACAACATACTAACTTAAAAATTTTTTTCTTACTTATACAATATCACATAAGATTTTAGGGGCCATAATTAAATAAATAACTTTTTTCAAACAATACTGTTTCAGATTGGAAATTACCTACAATTAACTTCTTAAATAATTCTAAATTCTACATTATTAAAACATTGAAGAAAAAATCTACATGCAAGTTACACATTAATTTTTTAACTGCTCTTTAGTGATCAACACCTCCTTCCTCATATTTTTTTTTATCTTATCTCTGGTACAACCACCAGGAGTAATTCACTATCAGAAATCTTACCTGGTTTTTTATATGGAGAAGACTCCATAAACTTCTGTATAGCTACATATTTAAAAATTAGTGAGCAATACCTGTGTATGAAATGACATGAAAAATAAAATTACTATTCTAATATTGACAGAAAAAGCATTTACAAAAAATATTCAGAGAATGTTTCAGATAATATAAGAGCTAACATCAGAACTTCAAATTATGCCACACCCTTCAAATTTGTAAGTTCTACAAACTGTTTCTTAAGCTTATAATTAAAGAAGAATAGTAAGGGGAACTAGTCATGACTTGAGGGCAGCACAGCTCCGTAAATTAACTACAGTTAGTGTGGCATGATGGAAAGTGTCCTGAACTCAGAAGAAGTGCTGGCTTTGTAACCAACAGCCATTTGTTCTTAGACAAGTCCCTTCCTCAGGCTCAAAGTTTCTTCTAAAAAATAAACAGTTTACTGCCTTATTTCACTCGGTTGTCTTAAAAATTTAATGAGATAATATTTTTTAAAAACCTCAGAGAAATAGTGAGGCGATAAGATGATTTGCTTTTAAACTTTATTGCTGAAACTATTTTGGAATCCCAAATAAAACCCTGTGTGTGTGTGTGTGTGTGTGTGTGTGTGTGTGTGTGTGTAATAGATTCTAATATTCAAATGTTGCAGTTTTCAGAAAATGTTATTAAGTCCTAATTTGGGGTACTAACTGTTCTATACTTCGTGGCTTATAATTTGGGGCATCTCAGCTATTTTATAATTTGTAACTAAATTTACTGATAAATTTATATATCATCTCATTAAATTAGATAACATAATGGTCCCTGATCAGTGAGCTAATCAATACCAAATGCCACTCATTTTGCTTTGAATCGCGCACTGTTTCCTTGAAGCTAGTCAGAAAAGTGTCAAATAACCTTCTAGAGACTGCACACAATATGGACTGCTTCACAAATTTAAGTGTCGTCCTTGCAGAGGGGCCTGGCTAATCTCTGTATCGTTCTAACTTTAGTATATATGCTGCTGACACAACACAAGCACAAAACCCTACTTTTATGCATGGATACTGAAGAATAATGGATAGGGCCTAGCTTTCTTAAATCTAACTAATCTACTTTAAATTCAGAAAACTCTCTTGAATACTTTCCTTGTGAGGCAGAATTTGAAAATATTTTGAAAACTTGAGGTAGAGATGCAAGAAGCTTGAGAGATTTTCATTATCATAGAAAGAGATCACTGGAGGGACCAACAGTAAGTTGACACCCACTACTCTAGGGAAGCTCAATATGGGACCTTCCACAACCTAAATAAAGATACTACACAGGATATGAAGGGGCTTTGGGGTACATATCTGGTAGGAAATATGAAAAGAAACTCTGCTCTCTTCCTGCAACATTATTTGAACCTCTCTTGACAGTTCAGAACAACCCCAACTAATATCTGCAAGGAGAAAAGATGAACAAGACCCTCAAAGAATAACTCATCGTGAAGGTCTAGGCTGAGATATGGGCTCCATGTAAGGTTTGGGGTGGGGGAGGAAGGGTCCCCCTGCTCACTATATGTAACTAAAGCTAGGAAGCCCAGCTGCCAAAAAAGGAAGCTGGTGCTTTGGGAACAATGGTGGAAAACCTCAGCATATGTGTGGTAACTAAGACAAAGTGTAACTCTGAAGTCTAAATATGGATTGTCACGAAGACTGAGGGATCTGCATCAGTAAGGGCATCGTGGTGGCAAAGGTCAATCATTACAGAACTGCAGGACTAGTTTCAATAGCAACACTGCAGGAAAAGAATCAACAGGAGCAATAGAATGATTGGAATGTCCTTTTTTTCCTCTTTGTCTGACTTGTGAAAGTGGATCGTTTTCCTTGGACTTAGGGAACCACTCAGGTTCTTGGAAAATTAAAGAAGGGGGCTGTAGGAGATAGCTCACAGTGAAAAGTACAAGATTTTCTGCTAAATTGGACATTTCGAGACCCAAATAACTAATTAGAAAAATCAAAGATGTGACACTGTTCCACATGCATTCGGGTTATACATGAAATAAAATACATAACAGTGGAATCCCTGAAGGTAAAGTTCCTAAAAGTCCTGAGGAAAAGAATCCTGCCTCCATGGCTACTTCTAACTAGTCTAGCCTTTTGCTTGGTTTCTGGCTGATGAAGTGGGCCAATTCATTACCATTTCCAAACTAGCAGAACCAAACTATGAAATCTCACCGGATATATGATACAATAGTTATAATTACCCAAAACCTCAATTTAATGTTAACTAGCATTTTAACTCAAACACTTACTTGTGATTACCACTAACAATAGCATAAAATTCTGCAGTCCTTTCATAAATATCTTCAGAAGCGATATCAATGCCTCGCTCAAGAAGCAGCTTGACTATATTTGTTGATTCGTGAGTTACCGCAAACATGAGGGCTGTTCTAAAATAACAGAGAGATAACTTCACCCATAGGAACTTTAATAAAATTATTTGAACAGCTACTTTAACATACCAATTTAATGCCATGATGGTCTGTGTAGACTTGACCGTTGACAGGTGGGTACTAATCTTTAAACCACATCCAAGGCTAAAAGGAAGGGATGAAAAGGAAGCCTCTATGTCCCACTGAGGTACTACATAGTAGAAGGTATTAATTTAAAGTCTTTTGATGGACAACAAACTAGGCTGAAGTCAGTATCTGAACTAAGTAAAGAATTCTCCATTTCTTCCCTACTTTGATATAATATATTGTAATTCACTGTCACCTAGGGGTAAGAGCTATTTAAAGGCTTAACACAATAATATCAATAGTAATGGTAATAATAATAGTCATAGCAGTTTCATTTAACAATACCGATAAGCATGTCCTAGCACTGAATCGAATGCTATCTATATAATTTTACTGATACATACACCCTTTAAGGATATACTATTATTCTCTTTTTCACATCTGGGAACATATTTGTTGATAAGTAATGTTCCCAAGGTCACACCCTAGCAAGTGGGTAAGCTAGGAATTGAACCCAGTCTTATGTGAATCTAAAGCCTATCTCTTTTCTCTTTATTACCCACCTATGACTTGTCTTCACTAAAGAAAAACTTTATCCAACTAATGTTGTCTTTCTTCCCTCAGCCATACCAATCAAAAATAAAAACATTAAAATACACTAGAAATGAAAAAGAAAAAAAAAAACCCTTATGAAACTACAATATCTGGTAATAGCAATTAATAGCAGCTTAAGGATAATCTCCTGTCAACATTCTTCAAAGAAAGCAATTTAGGGGGCCGGCCCGGTGGCGCACTGCTACAGTGTGCCGCTTGGGAAGCGCGGTGGCGCTCCCGCCGAGGGTTCGGATCCCACATACAGACTGGTTCCCGCTCACTGGCTGAGCGAGGCGCAGGGGCAACACCGAGGGTTGCGATCCCGTTGCCTGTCCCGGTCCGGTACGGGGGCGACACTGAGGGTTGCGATCCGTTGCCGGACACGGAAAAAGACAAAAAAAAAAAGAAAGCAATTTAAAGCAGAGTCATGCAAGAGAGAAAATGATTTTCATCTCCTATGTATATTTAATAAGCATTTTAAAGGGATAGAATATAAGAACCAATCTTTTAAAAACACTATAGAATGGTTAAGACGTACAATAGTGAGTGATCAAGTTAATTGAAAAGTTAAAGTCCATACTTTATAATACTAATAAAACTAATATGAAGCCCCTTTAGCTAAAATAAGATCATAAGACCCCCCCCCCAAAAAAAAATCAGGTTACAAGTAGCAAATATCAGTCAGAATTACACAGGAATGTGACCCTACTATGTTCTGTTCTCCATGTTGCCCAATCCAAATAATTGCTTTTCTACCTAACTGAGGATATGTGTTGATATTTTTCACTACATCTCAACAATTATATGGTGGTCTTCTCCCTAATTTAGTGTATCTGGCTTCAGTGACTGTTACCACTCTAGAACAACATGAAAGTTTAAAAGAAAAGCATGTACTACTGTACCTCTCCATGATGTCAACCGCATGTATATCTGCTCCATTCTTTACTAAAAATTCCACCATTGAAGGTCTGTTTCTTTTTAGAGCAAGTAAGAGTGGTGTGAGCCCTTTCTGTAAAACAGCAAAAACAATTTACAATTTATAAAATTACATATTTCTCAATTGAATTGAAAACCTCATAAAAGGTCCTGTGCACTTAAACATATAAAATAGAAAGTAAATGACAGGACATTTCATCTCACCCCTCTGTACTTTCACATATTTCACTCCTTACCTTTGAAATGCCCCTCCTCTGCCTAACCACAGTAACTCCAGTCATCTCCAACACTCACTTCAAACATTTATTGGGTCCAAGAAGCTTTCCTTCTACCATAGCTTTTACAGTGGTATGTTATAGTTATTTCATTGTTTCCTATCTAAACCAAGAGCTTCCTGAGGGCAGAGGCTGTATCTTTTACCTCTATAGCCCCAACCCTAAGAAACAGTAGTAAATGCTTTAAGTATTTTTATTGAGTCAGTGACCTAAATTAGCATCTCTAGAGCAGTGTTTCTTAAACGATATTCCAAAGAATATTTGCTTTACTCTAAGTACTGTGCCCCAAAAGAAAGATCCCATCTTCATCTACATTTGAAAAGTATTATTAAAATGTGCATTATATGTCTAGTAGTAAAGATATCTCTTGAATTAGCTTAACCCCTAGCTGACAACATTAACATCTGAGGAATTAGAGTTTCAGGGATATAGTTTTGAGAGCTTTCCAGTAAAGGTGGAGGTTCCTTCTAGGTTATACAAACTTGCTTGATTCTCTCCTGTCAATAGTGTCAAGATCCCACATGCCAATATCAGGCACTCCTGATCTAAATGGGTCAATAAGGAAATGGCTTCTGAATTTTAAAAGATAGGCTTCAAATGAACTTTCATTACCTATTATGAGTGGTCATGAATTTTCTCATATAACAAGATAACAGATTTTTACCTTAGTTGTTAGAAAGCTAAGTACATAATTTTATTTTCAATTATAATAATAATCCTGGGACCCAACGCATATATAGTTTTTAAATCCATTTTTATTCAGGTTTTCATTTTAATCGCTACTTAAAATTATTTATAGGTAAAATATAAATCAGAAATAAAAATACAAGAACTGTCAATAAAAATTTTTTTTTCCTTTTTGTCTCTTTTTTACTGACCGGCAACAGGATCGCAACCCTCGGTGTTGCGTCCGCACCGCGCTCAGCCAGTGAGTGGGAACCGGTCTCCACATGGGATCCGAACCCTTGGCGGGAGCGCCACTGCGCTCCCAAGCAGCGCACTCTCCAGTGCACCACTGGGCCAGCCCAATAAAAATTTTTAATACTGATACATGTGCATTATTTTTAACATAATAAAAGCCACTAAAATCATTTGCATTTTTAAGGGATAATGCTGAAGAGAATTATATAATATTGTCTGCAATATGCATAACCTATCCAACTACAACCAGATGATATGGGTTGCATGTGTCCCCAAAAGTTTCATGTATTAGAAACTTAATCCCCACTATGACAATGTTAAAAGGGTGGGAAATCCTATCATGATAAATGAATAGCAGGACACCTTTAAGAGGTAAATAGATTCTGAGGACTGTAACCTTGTGAATGGATTGATCCATTCATGCAGTAATGGGCATGGTTTAATGGCTCACAAGGACAGCCAGCTTAGTTCTCTCTTGCTCAGCCATTTGCCAGGTGATAAACTGCATCGCTGCAAAGCCACCACCAATGAGGCTTTCACTAGATGTACTCCCTGGACTGTGAACTTCCCAGCAATTGTATTTCAGCAATAAATTGCTGAAATAATAAGCAATAAATTGTAAGCAATAAATTCTATTTCTTTACAAATTACTCAGTTTCAGGTACTCTGTTATAAGCAACAGAAATGAACTAACACACAGGATTAACCTAATAAGGCTTACAGACATTCTAATGAAATATGATTATTTATAGTATATTTAAGGAAAAAGTTTTTAAAACACTAACTTCTAAATTATAAAATTCAATCCCATTTCTAAGAAACTAATATAAAATATAGGTTATGTTACTATAAATTATTAAAACTTGTCTTGAAAACCTTGGAAGCTTTATCAAAATGTACTATGAAACAGGGGTTGTAAACCTAAATACTTCCACATGCTAAGTACATGACCTGAGTAAGTGAAGTAACTAGGTGGGGACAGTAGCAAACTTGGGAACATATGTCTTGTATAAGGGGGCAGCCTCTGCACAGCATACCAAACAGTAATATGGGCTCTGTAAGCCAGATTTAATTCTTCAAGAGAAGGTTGAAATCCAGATTTCTGCATGAGGCTCCTAAATTGAAATGTTGACTCAACTTTCAGAGGCAAACTAAACATATCTATGGGTCTCATTTATTTTATAGCCCTTGCATATTTGTATTTGCTGTTTCCAGATGCTTGGTATAAAGAAAGCATTTGCATGTAAAAATCTTTCCTTGCTTTAGTATCATGCTTTACCCAAAAATCAAGCCCTAATAATTAGTAACAATTGCTACTAAGACATGATACCCACTTTGAGAATATTTCAAGCACTTATACATTTACAATCTATTTGTATTTAATTGTCCCAGACTGTTAAGCAAATGGATAATTAGTTCATAACACTGAAAAACCTAAATTATTAAAAGAATCCTCATCTGTATTCTTACTAACTTCATGGTTTTCAGTGTTTAAAACTGATACCCTGTTCATAGGCAGGGCTCTATGAATTTAGACATACTGAGATAGTCTACAATATAGCTTCAAGTTTTAAAAAAAGTTAATGATTTGCTACAATTCTAATCATGAAAACCTGGCTCTTAATAGACATTTGTTGACCTGATGACCTGAATGATAAAAAACAGACATGAAATCCTTAAAGGGTCAGCCTCTACTCACTAGAAGACTACTCATAAGCAATTTCCTAAAGAACTTGAGAATGGCAGTGAATGACTGCTAGGTGGAAGGAAAAATATGTTATTCTGTAAGCCAATTACATTCCTTTTAACTTCCTAGCCATAGAGACAGAAAAACACAGAAAAAAAAGTCAGGCTAATATTGTTGGAAAGGACAGAAATGAAGTATCACCTATCGAACTCCAAGTCTTCTACAGATTTCTTAGAATTTGTAATTGGGGAATCTATGTATTGCACTTACTTATTCAGTGATTCTTCACAAAGTGTTGTACCAGGATTCAAAGGAAATATTTTTAAATATACATAACGGTCTTATTAAATTAACTGGATCAAAACCTACAGAAGAGGGCCTAGACGTGTAAATTATTTTTAAATTTCCCTATGTCATTGTGGGGCACAATTCTAGTGGAAAACCAGTGCAGTAGACAATTTAGTCTCATCTCTCACCCATGTGGCTAATTCCATCCATTATCTGGGGATTTGGCCAAAAAGAGGAAAGAGTAAAAGACAGAATCACTTCCTGGAAACTCCACTACATTTTTTTTTAAGCTCCCTATTTTCCACCTTCCCATCAAGACTTTCTGGATTTGAGAGCAGAGTTTAGACTCTTATTTTAGCAACTGTTTCTGCCAGAATAGGACTATATGTCAGTTAATTCTTTCTTCTTCCCTCCTTTCCCACTTAATCATCACCTCTTCACTGCCAATCTGCTTTCCTCAGAGTCCTACTAAAACTGATCTCTAGGAAAGCTGACAATTCACTAACTCTCTCCCTAACTGAGAATTATTATCCCCCAAATTGAAGAGCACCTTGTTAAAGCATAAAAACCGGAAACAAAAACCCAAAAATATGAAAACAAAGAAAACTTCTTGGTATTTTCCCTCAGCTACGTAATTTACAAATTGGCCTGCATATTTCTCATTGCTCTCTCCTTCCGAGGTCCACTTTTCCCTCTGAAGACTTGTCACTGAGAGATAAATCACTTTTTTTTTTTTTTTACAAAATAGGTACTTGTCAACACCGATGGGATTTCTATTTATTGTAAAATGCTTGTTTTGTTTGAATTTTAAGATAAAGCCGATTTCCAAGGCAAATTTTGCTTTCCCGTGTTGTTTTATACTAATTAGAAAAACAACTTGTGGGAAAAAATATTTGGAAAAAAATTTACCTTTAACGAAATCAGTGTTTTCATAAATATGTGCCATAAATGCTTAAAAGAAAGATGTGCCCTCTACTTCTTCATTAAAAGTATCAATATTTAATGTGAAATCCTAGATAACTGCTTGAGCTTCCAAGGATGGAAAACTGACCCCACATGTGTCAATGTGAAAACTAGTAAGTTTCAAATATTTACAAAAGAAAGTTGGTTCATCTATACCTTGTTTCTTGCTTCGATATTTGCATGATGTAAAAGCAGTTTTTCTGCGATAGATACGTTCTGACCGCAGGCAGCATAGTGGAGAGCAGTGTTGTTACGGGAGTCCGTCAAGCATGGATTGGCCCCATGTTCTAGTAGAATAGCTACACATTCCTCATTCTGGCATTGTACAGCCTGTCAGTATTACACAAAGACATAGATTGTAAATTCTAGGAATTCAAAATAAACATTCAACAGGTTTTACCCATTAATTATATTTAAATGAGATAAATTCAGTTTCATTCTATGTATGTAAGTCAAATCCATCTCATGTTAAAAGAGGTGGCTACTCTGTACCTTCATCAGAGCTGTCTTCTTTCTGTCATCACAGGGGTTAAGATTGCATCTTTTCTCTACCAGGAGAGCTACTACTTCACGATGACCAAATGTACAGGCCCAGTGTAGTGGGGTTCTATGAAAGTGAGAGGACATTTTAGAAAATTATCATGCATTCTCTCAAAATATAATTACTCATGTGATTATAAACATTAAATTGCATGTTATTCCTGTGCCTTCAAAACAAATATTTAATTTCCTTCTGAAGAAAGCACAATATTAGCACTTTTTACTCACTATATGAATGCAAGGGCAGCCTGAGTAGAAAGATCACTTTGCATTCAGTTCAACCTGGGTTTGAACCCTACTTTAAACTCTGCCAATTACTAGCTATCACTTAGCTTTTCTGCACCTCAATTTCCTTATCAAGAAAATGGAGATAAAAATAGTGGTTAACTCACAGGACACCACTGTGATGTTCCAATGAGAATCTAGGCAAAGTATTTAGAACAGATCCCAGCACAAATAACAGCTCAGTGACTGTGAGATGGTATAATTATTACTATAATTATTAATACGAAGACAACAGTTTAATGAAGTAACAGTTTAATGAATGATACAGTTACACCTACTCTGCAGATGTTTTAAGAATTATAGATAAAACTATTTCAATAATTCTAAGATGCTCATTTTCTCACACTTTAACATCTCTGACATTGAATGGCCACTTATTAATTCATGACACATTAGAACTATAATTGGCAGCATTTTTAAAATCTCTATTAATATAAGAAATAATGGGGCCTCACACAATCCATGGTGAATCTCTACAGTAAGTGAAACTTTTATACTAAGGTCTATGGTAGTTCTAATTATAGCTGGCATTTAAATAAATTTTAGTTCTTAAAAGTGCTATGGGGAGAGTGGGCTAAAATAACAACAAAAAAAATTTAAAAACAAAGTAATTCTTACTTTGATTTTCATGAAATTTTAAGCTAAAGGAAATTCAAGATTCAAATGAATAGGTATAGCTCAACTTATTCAATATTTAGATTTACAGAATTTAATGCAAATCAGGTATTTCCAATGATTAATATTAGCATTTAATACTGGTATAAGTTTTCAAAAGGGCAGTTAAATGTTATATTTTACAATTTCCTATCTTCAAAACCGCTTCTATTTAAAAGAAGGGAGGAAAATCTTTCACCAACATTAAGTCTAATACTTCAAATTTAAACCTGTCAACTTGCTCAGATTGGCAGGTAATCATGAAGTTTTTAAGGATAAAAGGGTTCTGAGAGATAACAGAATATGTTTGCTACATAATAGGTATTCAGGTTATGTTTGACGAATAAGTGGGTTGAAAGAATAGATAAATATAGTTGGGGAGTTCAATATTTTTAAAGAGAACTTTTATAAAGTAAAGCAATACTTTTGCAATAGTAATAATCATTTATATTTGCTTTTTATTTTCATAAGAATACAATTAAAGTGATTAACCTATAGCTGCTTATATGTGACACATCTGTATATGATAAAAACATATGTGTATAACAAAATGTATACATAATAAAATCTACATGCACAGATAAAAAAAAATTCCCTTTACTTCTGATGTGGCTAAAAATTGGCAGAACATACTAATCCATGAAAAAAATTAATGGAAAGTGGGAAATTATTTTGATCTGCACAAGATTGATATTCCTAAACTCCCCAAGGATTATTTCATTAATAGCAATTTTTTACTAGAATTTTTTCATTATAGAAATTATAGAAATTACAGATATGAAAAAGGAAAAGAAAATTTCACTTATAATACAAAGTTCAGAAATAACTGGGCATTAATTTTAGCTCTTTTGTGCATAGTTTTGGCTAACATGACACCATAATCTGTTTGTGCATATGTGTAATCAAACTTTTTTTCTCACTTAATATACCAAAGTACATCTTCACCTGTCTACATACAACTGTAGGTATGCCATCTCCAATGGTCACACACTATTCTATCCCATGTATACTCTGCAATTTTTTTTAATAAATCCCATCATACAGGTTCTTCTTAATGTATTGCTATTTTAAGCAGTGATGAAAAAAGCAAATCACATGCATCTCTAGTTATTTCTTAAAGATATTTTAGTATAATGGAATTGTTCGGTAAAAGGCATAAATGTTTTTTTAGTGTAGTACTTCTCAACAAATTTTCTACTGGAAAACTCATAAACAACTTGAACTTTAAGCAACAGCATAAGTACCACTGCTTTTAATCCTCAAAAACCTTCTGGATGGAAAACAAGTTCTAAATTCTTACATATAGTTGGGCATTTCTGGATTTTCAATCCCATTCTATTCATTTATCTGTCTTTTCAGCTGTTAGTAAACTACTAATTTGCGGAAATTCGTAACACATTTTGATATCTAAGAGGGCAAGTCTTTGCTTATAACGATACAAAAATTATCTTAATGTCATCACAACAGTAAAAGCATGTTGAAACAAAAAATTTTAAATCTTGATATTTTTATATGGCTTATGTAAAAATCATAAATTTAAAAAGAGATCATATTTTGAAATAAATTAGTTTTCCTATACAACAATATGGAGTTATCTTCCCAGTTCAGAGTTTCCTTCTCAAATTCTTCAGTAAAAAGCATATATACATAGATGTATACTGATTTAAAATGCATAGTGGAGTTTATTCAAAGAATTTTTATCCAAGAAATTGATGTTATGGGAATTATTTTTCTCATGCACTTTCTTGTAATGTACATAACTTTATGATTTTTAAAGTGTGAACATTATAAATAAAACGCTGTATATACTTAATTTTAATAGTTAAATCACTTTACGATCTTCAATAAAGTGCTCTATAAGGGGAATTCTGAATGGATCTAAAACCAGCTAAAGTTTTGTTTCTGTTTTGCTGCTCATAAAGACGGTCTGGGCACTTGACCCCTGCAAAGTTTCTATGTCCCAGGTGCTGAGGAATGTGTGAAGGAAAGAAAGCCTAGCATCTTGGGTGGCAGGAGAACTCAGGCCCCACCATGCAGAGCCCAGGAAGGTGTGGCTTCTCCCACATCCGCCTCGCCTCCTCCCCACTGACTCTCACTCCCTGGTCCCAGTCCCTTACTTCTCATTCCTGTCTCTGTCATCCACGCCACCTTCCCCATACAGAAGGATCATCTGTATTCTTTCCACATCACCCTTCCTGGCAGCATGATGGATCTTTCCCAGACGTCCGAGTTTGATCTGGTACCTAAGCCGAAAGTGCGTGATTTTCTTTCTCAACCACCCAGTGTCTGCAGTGTCTGAACTGCTCTTCCAATTGGTGGAGAAGCTCGAAGGGGTCTCTTCTATACTCCCCAAAACACCAGAAAGCCTATTCATGGTGGAAGTTACCAGCTTCGGATACACCTCACCTCCCCCCTCGGCTATTACCACCTCTGAAGCCGATATTATTAAATACTATTAGATACTATTATGGATAAGCCAACCGCTCTGCCACAACAATCCAACTGGAAGCATCCAGTTCTGAACGGTAACCAAGCAACGGGTCTAAACACAAGTGCGCATGCACACAAAGACCTGGCGGCCAAGAGTTCTAAGTGGGCATGTGCACGGCTCCTGGTCGTCCAATGGTTGGTGAGTGATGTCACAGCCACTAAGTACATTTAAAGCTGGTTCTGATTGGCTACTTGTTACCATGGCTACAGGTCAGTTCTTTCCTAAGTTTGAGGCAACTTGAACCAGATGGTTTCTGTTTAAAAGTTGCCTTTCATCACCTAAGTTCAAAATGAAAAATATTTTATATTCTAGAATTGTAGACTTATTTTTGAAGTTTGGGTCAAGAATTGTTTAATAACTGCGTTTAGGAAGATCTCCCTTTGTTTTTAGGTGATTGGCCTTAACTAGAAGAGTTATATACATAACTTTGTTTTTGTAAACAATTGTTAGTCTTCTTTTTGTTTTTGGTAACTTTAGGGCCTCATGCTCAAATCCTAACATAACAATCTCCAGTGGGAAATTTTAGTCTCTTTGTAAATTTTTGTAGGTATATGATAGTGATATCTTATGCATGTGTTCACTCCATAGAAAAGTAATCACAATTTTCTACTGGCAAACACAGCTTTGATAGTAGGATTAGACACTAAGTTAAAAGCATATAAAAGTTACTGAATGATTGTATTTTATTTTATTTTTTTTTAAGATGACCAGTAAGGGGATCTCAACCCTTGGCTTGGTGTTGTCAGCACCACACTCAGCCAGTGAGCTAACCGGCCATCCCTACATAGGATCCAAACCCGTGGCCTTGGTGTGAGCAGCACCGCACTCTCCCGAGTGAGCCACGGGCCAGCTCTTGAATCATTTTATTTTTGAACCACATCATAACATCAGAATAGTGCTATTTTTGAACTATATATAGTAACAGATACAGGCGGAATACAGTGCAAGAAGCTCAAGGTCTTCCAGGACAGGAAGAGCTGCAGAGGGCAGGAGGCAGGGGGCAATGGAACCTCAGGTAGCATCTAGCAGAGACTGGTGATCAGCAGCACATACCATACCCAGAAGACCCTGAGAGAGGCTTGTAGTTGAGAATGGTTTACATGCACATTACATTGTTGCAAGTATCCTATTGCTTTTGAAAGACAGGCTAAACTGTGACGCCAATAGTCTTATTTACAAATATTAAAAAAAACACTTCAGTTTCATATATGGAAAATCCACTGGAATACATCTGTTTTGGAACACGTAAGCAGTTCTGGGGAGAGAAAAGAGAAATGGACTCTCATGAACTAGGTCAACTATAGATCTTGGCTATAGTGGCTTCACTGTGAGTCAGGTAGGGGTATTAAGAATATTGGGCAAAATCAAACATTAGATCGATATTTCTAGAGTCCATATCCACTGATCATACTCACAAATTGGCAAATGTTGAGAAAGAGTCCTAACTTCCAGGCCAAGCAATCAGAGTGAGTAAGCGAGCATGGGCACATTCCTCCCTGGCATTACTTCAGGTTGTGAGGTAATATTATTTAACCAATAATCAAGTTTGAGGGAAAGCAGCATCTGTAACTACACTTGCCACTGACAGATGATATCTCAAGAACAAGTGGAGAAACAGAAGTAGTTCCATTTTGATGTCAAGATCAATCTCTTGGACACATCACTAGACATAGAAAATGAACTGAAATAAAAGTCTACACTAGTCAATCCACTGCATACCGTCTACACTACCCAGCAATCTTCTGCAGTAGGTACATCATCATTTCACACACTCTGTGATCTCTAACACTGTGGGTTGGTCAGATACACTTGTCAAGGGGAAGCCAGATGTCACTAAAAGACTGAGTGAATGAGTGGAAATCTTGCAACTTGCTTTTGGAGATACAGTCATCAAATGAGATATTTCAGTGAACCATATACTGTCTTCATTGATGTATCAATACACAAAGGAGTGGTGGAAAATACTGTAAAATACAAACTTGAAAACAAGTAACACCTGATGACCTCCAGAGTTATACCTGATCACCTCTATCTTTAATGTCAGCCTATTGCTTTCATAGGCTATCATGCCTATGTTCTTTTTATTAGGGTAACATTTTTTCTCTTCATTAGTGTATGAATAATTTTGCAATGGCCAAGTTCTTGCTTATTAAAACACTCTCTCTTCAAATTATAAGCAGACTTTCGAGTGTTTTTATAAATGTCTCCATTTTATATTATTTCTCATTGGTATTCACTGGTTTTCTGAGTGGACAGGGCTGGGGAGGTGAATCAGAATACTTAGTCCACGGCCTGTACCAGGAACTCCAGGACTGATAGAGATTTGTCGGGCCTCCCTGAGCCAGAGGCCGACAAAACCGAGCGGGAAGAGACCCCGGTCCAGCCGGGGGTCCCTTGTGGGGCTGAGCGGGATGATGAGTGTCGCTGGCACGGCCCTTCCCCCCCAGGACCTTCCTCCCCGGGGGCCGAGAAAGAACACCACCGAGCCAGGAGAGTGGTCAAAGCCGGAACTCTGTTTATTGCGAGGGGACAGGGGCTTATATAGAGAGGACAGGGTGGGGGAGCCGTCACCCAATCAGGGGCAGCCACGCCGTGGAGGGACGGGAGAAAGTAGGGCGGGAAAAAAGTGCAGAGTCATAGAACCCCGGAAAAGGGAGTAGTTAGGTACGTGCGCTTTGGCCCACATGAAATGGCGGCGGCGAGCTTGCGGCTCGCACGCAACATGGCTGCCGCCCCGCCCCCGCCAAGAAACAGACATTAGATATGGGAAAATCCCTTATGGCGAAAATGCACCGTAATATGGCCCAACAGAGATTGAAATCCTAAGCAAAGGGAACCCACAGGTCCAAGCTGAGACATTATTTGAGACAAGGTGAATGAACCAAAATCTTATTGGCGAATCTAACATTTATGAATTTTTACATTAAAATATAACAAAATATAAACAGAATTTTGGAGCAGGAAAGTTACGCTCATGTTAGAAGGTACACAAAGCCCACAAAGCATTTCACCCTCCTGGTCTCTTTCTTCCTTCATATATTGAGTCTGTTTGACTAGAAAATCTGTATTTCTTCATTGATTTTTCAAATTCTAAAATTATGTCTCTAAGTTGAAGCTAAAATCCTCACTCATGGTTTCTTTTTCTGGAGAGAGGAAACAAGAGCAGCTGCTCATACCCACAAGTGGGCCTGGTGCTCACAGTAAGGTATCTCAGAGCACCAATGTCACATGACCAAGTGAGGCAAATGAAGAAAATTTTTCATGTTTTCTAAGTGCAGAGAGAAAACAGTCACTGTGCCACCCAAAACATACCAAACAGTCCACTCACTTGGTTAAAATGACTTTACCAGTAATGACTTTTTCCTGGCTATTGTCTGCCCTCCTATAGATAAGATTTGTTAACCTACTGAATCACAAAATTGTATTTGCTTTCAGACAGCATCCAATATAAAGTGACAACACCCCCCTAACCCATGTTTAGACCCTCCCTCAAATCACCTAGTCAAAGCCCAAATTCTGTAATAGGCTTTTTTTTTTAACATTGCCCTATGGAGACACCCCATGGTTGCTCATGGTGTGTGTCCTCTCACTGCAATGAGCAATAAACCTGATTTGTTCTTGGTTCAGCTTGTTCACAGGTGTGCTCCTGCTGGTCTTTTGCTGCAGGTCATGAATAAAGGAATGATCTCATCTGACCCAGCCGACTCTGGGTCCTCAAGATGTGTGCCCACACTTCAGCTCTTGTCCTAGGCTCTGCCTACTCCAGAAAGCCTTCTCTGACTCCCCCAGCAAGCTCAGTTCTATTCTCCAGGACCCCTTGCACTTCTTCTCTTATGACAGCCACTGCATACCTGGGCACATTTCCCCCACAGACTGAAAGCTCCCTGTGGGCCCTAGTGAGGAGTGAGGTATGCCCGACCACATTCCCAGCACTTTTTCTAGCGTGTATTCAAAAGTATTTCATAAATACTTGATGATTGTACACAAGAATCAATGCTTTTGAATCCACCTTATATATAATGTCAGACCAATGTAATGACATATTTTTAATGGCCTTAACTCTTTCAAGTAACCAATATAATGTTTCCAGAACAATGTGTAAAAATAAAATAGCATTAAAATTTCAACTATAATTGTGTGCAAAGAATCTTCCAAATTATGAAATCTAAGTCACTTATTTTATAGGCCAAATGTGAATATTCTTGTAGCTTTTGAAATTCTATCATGTAAAACTTAGTTGTTTACAAAATACAAATTAAAAAGCAATTTCACTTAAAATACTTTCTATTACTACACAAATTGATTAAAACAAAATTCCAAAAGAAGATACTTCTTTAAAATAATTTAAATATGCAACTTGCAACAGCTACATTTATTGTAAACCTACTGTCTTAAAAACAAGGAGCAACTATCCCTTGTTTACTTTAATATGGTGAAAAGTTTGTGGAACCAGTTGCTTATTAATAACCATACGTAAAACACTAGTGATAAGTCATTCTGCATGCATTCTTTCCTGGTTAAAAATTATTTTTTAATTATTGAAAATGTTTCAAAACACTTTGTTTGAAAGATGTGTAAAAACAAGGATAGAAGAATATGACTGCCTGTTTCCTGCCTAACAATTTAACTTCAATTACAAATACACACAAATAGCTGGATGGTTAGCTCAGCTGGTTAAAGCACAGCCTTACAACAGGGTGATGTAGTTTGGACGTTTTGTCCTTCCAGAACTCATGTGGAAATTTGATCCCCAATGTGTCAGTGTTGGAAACTGATTGAGTCAGGGGGGCAGATCCCTCATGAATAGATTAGTGCTCTCCTTAGGTGGGGGGAGTAATGAATGTGTTCTCACTCTATTAGTTCCCCTGAGAGCTGGTTGTTTA